TGCCAGAGAGCCGCGGAGTGGCGGGGACACGGGGGAGGCCGAAGCGCAGCGGCAGGGTCTGCCACGAAGGACCCCGGCGCTGGACGGAGAGTCCATTCCAGCCAGGGGTGCCCTACAAGGCTGTGAGAGGCCACGCCTGAGGGCTGATGAGAAATGCCGGGTCTGAGCCGTTCCCCTGTCCTCGGCCCCTCGGCCCCTCGGCCCGTCCTCCCAGTCCTGGCCAGGCTGCTCTCTGCCCGCACTGCCTCCCGTGTGCGAGCCAGGTCCAGGTCCCCAGCACCGCTCCAATCTCCGGGCGGAAGGTGGGCGTGCTCCCCCAGCTCGGGGCTGGCTGAAGCCCGGCTGCTGCGCCCTCCCTCTGGCTCTGGGTGACACAGATGAACGCACGGCTTAGCTTTCCGCCACATTTCCCTGGAGTGACAGCACAGCTCGCCCGGGTGCGAGCCCTGGAGACTCGGGAGACCAGACTCCTCGTGACTCTCCTGGGGAGACGTGCAGACCACTCAGTGTGTCATGTCATGTCACCGGCAAGAGTTAGAGTACTCGTGCTGGGGACAGACACAGGTGGCCTGACTGGGGCGTAGAGAAGCCTGGAGGTAACCGAGCTGGTACGCAGGAGTGTGAGGGTGAGCCAGGCAGGCGGGCCGCGTGGCCGTGGCTCAGAAGCGTGGAGCTGCGTCGACCTAGCTGGGTCAAGGGTGAGGTGTGTGTGTCGGGGGCGAGTCGAGGGCACAGTGGCGGGGAGGACACGCTCGCAGTCACCTGACGCCTGTCTGCGCCTCCTTGCCCACTAGGCTCCGCTCCACCCCTCCAGAGCTGGGCTTGGCACGGCTTTGCTGCAGTGGGGATGGGGTGGGGCCTGGCGGCACCACGCGGAGATCACCAGCCTCTGCAGACACTGCAGGCCCAGTGGACGTGGGGTGGCCCTGCACTCAGGACCCCTGGCATGGGTGGCGCCTCTCTCAGCCTTCGCTTTTATCTGCAAAGGCCGCAGCAGTGCAGGAAGCTCGGGGGCCTTCCGGACCTTTCGGGGCATGCGTGACAGACACACGGCTCAGTGGGCACGGTGCGCGGGACTGGCTCACAGCCTGAAGAGTGTGGGGCAGTTTCCCTTCAGGCCTCAGCCCTGCCTTCCTCACTGTCTCTCAGCTCTGCTTTCCTCTTCTGGCTCTTTCTCAAGCTACGTGGCGGCCCGGGAGCTCCTGGCTTCGCCCGTCTGGAGGGCAGCGCCCGTCACCCCTGAAACACCGCCGTTCGACGGCCAGGGCATGGTGCCGTGGGCCCGCAGCTCATGCCTGCACCACCACCTGGCTAAGGGATCGGGACCACGTGCCCACTCCCGGTGCCCAGCCAACCCCATGGTCCTGGTCCAGAGGGTCACTAAGAGGGCATCAGAGGAGGGGATTCAAGGCCAGCACAGAGCCCCATCCCACCTCGGGCACACGAAGGTGTCCTGCCACCGGGCTCAGGACAGACACTGTTTTCCTGTCACCGAGAGATGCGTCTTGGCCACAGGACACAGGAAGTACCCTGCTGTGTTTAACCCTGCTCTCTCTGTCGTCTTCCAGGGACCGCTGGGTCTGGATGGCAAGCCCGTAAGTGATCGGGCACTTCGAGGTGGTCCTGGGACTGGGAACTTGGTTCAGGGCGGAGAGAAATACTCAGGCTTTAGGCCCGAGTTCAAGCCCTGCCCCGCTGCCTGCTGGCCGTGTGCCCAAGGGAGGCCTCATCAGCTCCCAAGTCTGAGGCTTCTGTTCTGCGAAACGGGTGCCTTCACCCTCGCCTCAGGGACGTAGGGTGTGGAGAGCTGCAAACAGCACAGGCCACAGCTAGGCCCTCGGAGCATGCAAGTCCCTCCCAGCGCCCCAGGCAGTCCCGAGGCTTTCCCCAGATGGCCATGGTGGGTCCGGCCGAGGAGCTCTCAGCGCCCGGGCCAGGCTCCTCACAAGAGGCAGAGGGAGACAGAGTACAACCGGGTATGGGGCCAAGGGTGGGCAGGTGTGCCGTGCCGGCACAGACGGCCGACCTGGCGAGGGAGCAAGTCAGTGATCGTGCAGACAGGCGGGTGCGCGGAGAGGGGACGGGGAGGGGTGGATAAGGGCCGGGACTGCGCGGGTGCGCGAGGAGTAAGTGAATGACTGACCAGTCCAACTACTCAAGGGCAGGGAAGAAGCAGCTCCTGGACAGACGGGCGGCCCGACGGGCGACTGTGCGTGCACTGCTGGCTAGTGGGGGGAGGGGTGCTCCGGGGCTGGACAGACGGGCGGCCCGACGGGTGACTGCCCGTGCACTGCTGGCTAGCGGGGGGAGGGGTGCTCCCCTCTTGGCCTGACCCCCTGTCTCAAAGCCTGGTATCTTGCAGGGTTGAAAGACACATCTTCCTGTAGCCAGAGTGGGACAATGGCCCTCGTGGCCCGCACGGGGCCACCCAACGCCCAAACAGGGGGATGGATGCTCGAAAGGCCAGCTAGCGGCATGGTGGTCAGGCAGCTGGATCCCACAGGACCGACTGCACAGTTTGAGTCCTAGACCTGGTGGCTTGAGAAACAGGCCAGGCACATGTGCCTGTGTACCCAAATCCCAACAGGAGGGAGAAATGGAAGGGACAGGACTGCGTGACCGTGCCCCATGGAGAGTGACCTCTCACTTTCCCTCGCTCTCCAGCAAACACGCCCTCTGGCAACATTTTTAGGAGAGAACTAGAGCACCAGAGCCCTTCTGGAAGCAGGGTCCCTGTCCACCGCGGCCATGCAGGCTGCAACCGGAAAGCTCAGGGCCTGGCCTCCTCGTGGGCACTGGGCACAGGCGGGCGCTGAGCAGGGAGGGCTGTGCTCAGAGCAGTGACCAGTGCGTTGCGTGACCTCAGAGACCTCAGCATGTGCCTTGTGGGTGGCCCCAGAGTCCCCCATCACACCAGGGTCTGAGGTGTGGCACCCACAGCCACTCAGCAGCGAGGGCCAGGGGAGAGGGAAGGGGGCGGGAGGGGCGGTGGGGGCCAGGCCCTTCTCACTGAGCCCGCTCTCTCCTTCTGCAGGGACTTCCAGGCCCCAAAGGGGAGAAGGTAAGTGATGCTGCAGGGTGCGGGATGCCAGACCCCTGCCTCCATGCTGCGGCTCCAGCCCGTGACCCTGTGCGTCACAGGCGCCCTCGGGGCCCCGGCTCCCCCCAGGCAGCCCCGATGTTCGCAGGTGACCACATAACGCGCCCGGGACATCGGGGCTCCCCGGGCCCAGAGCACCACGTGGCCCAGGCACAGCCTGTGCACGGCCGTGGGTCCTGAGGCTAGCCGGCTCGGGTGTGAACAAGGACTCCCCAGGGGTTTTGCTCGGGCAAGGACAGCCTCGGGAATCCAGGTGGCAGCACGCTCTCTGTCCCTCGTGCGAGAAGGCTCCCTGCACTTGGCACTGTGGGTCACGGCAGAGCCCTGGGGGCCGGAAGAGAGCAGAGGAGACCCGTGTGCTCGCCGTGGTCAGGGAGAAAGGGACAGGGCAGACCTCGCCGTGTCAGGCCCGACTTCGGAGATGGGGCGGGCAGAACTGGCGGTGGGTGCCCTGGTGCTGCGGTGGTCGCGGGCACAGCGGCTCACGTCTCAGCCCCATCGCCAGGCTGAGAAGTCACAGTTGGCCCAGAGCCTCAGCCCTGCATTCTGACTCC